ACCCCTGAAGTTACAGAATAAGAAGAAGAGTGCTGTTCATCAAGGACAACTTTTATACTACGATTGGAAAGAAAGGATTCAATAATCTTAAAGATGTTTTCAGATACACCATAAGAAGTAAGCTTATGGAGAAGAACAGCATGCTAAACTTTATCAATGGTCTTAACCTCTCCACCTTTATCTAATGCGCGATAAAACCTATCGGTTATTACTGATAGCAAATCAGCTGTAGAACGAGAAGACCGAAATCCATATTGATGATCAGAATGTAGGTTATGAGATTCGAGATTGAGTGTTTGTTAATTAAAGATTCAAAAACCTTGCTTATGATAGGAAGAAGACTAATGGGACTGTAGTTAGACTATCCGGATCGCTCTCCAGAATTTTTAAAAATAGGGATAACAAATGCTGCTTTCCAGCAGGCTAGAAAACAAGACTCTGATAAGCACTTGTTAAATAGTTTTGAAAGGATAGACGGCAGCTCTGGAGAACACTTCTGCAAGACTATAACAGGTATGTTGTCCAGGCTGCAAGCTGGCAACAAGTCTAAGCAGGAAATCACTTTAGATACAGAAGCTGGAGTGATATGGATGTCGAGCAATGGATCAACCTGTTTGACGGCTATATCAGGTAGAACGCAACTAGTGGAATCAAGAGATGATATTGATGAAAAATTCTTGGCAAACAATTCAGCTTTGTCTTTAGGTGAGGTGACAAAGTCTGAACCATACAAAAGAGGTGGAATTACAGACTTGCCCTTATTATTGATACTATTAAAGATTCTCCAGAAGTCACAAGAGCCTAATTTTTGTGATGAAATACGAGATTTCATGATCTGAGAATAGTGGGTTTTGGCATTAAACAAAACCTTTTTACAATGGTTCCTAGCAGTAATAAACAGACATCTGTTTTCTGGAGAATTGTTTTGCTGATAGATATGGAAGTAGTGGTTTCGATTGGCAATTGCAGCAGCACAATGTGAGGAAAACCATGGAGAAGAGTGAGGCTTGACCTGGAATCGTCAAGAGGGAATAACGGATTCCATGCCAGCCTAAATCCACGAAGTTATGTAAGAAACACATTTGTCAACAGGGAGACGAAAGATTTCTACCCAGGGGCCATCATAAAGAAAATCACGGAAAAAGTCCCAGTCAGCTTTAAGGTAGTTGTAAGATGTATGATGATAGGGGGATTCTGATGGTAAAGAAGAATGAGATAATAGTTTTAGAGAGACCAAACCATGATCAGAAGCATCTATGGGTGAGTGTGAAGAAGCTGAGCACTGACTAGGATCAGAAACAAGACATAAGTTGAGTAGAGAAGGTAAATGATTTGGGTTGTCTGGAAAGCAAGTTGGAAAGTTGACTATTTGAGTTAGGGATTGAGAAAGACAAAAGTTGTGGGCCTTAATGCCTGCAGAGTCACTGACACTAGTGCCAAGCCATTCAGTGTGATGAACATTAAAATCACCGACGACAACAATATTGGCTGATGGATAAAGAATGAGGGCTTGGTCAATATAATCAGAAATAACATCAAGAAGAGTGTAGTCTTGAGATAAGGGAGAGCGATATAGAACAAAGAGAAAGGTGATAGAGTGAAGTGGTGCTAAGCAAAAGCACATAAAAGAGTAGTCTGTGGATTCAAACCTAGTTTCCTGACAAATGGGTGAATTTTTACGAATGTAAATGCCCAGGCCTAGCATGTGACTATTGGAGTCTTTACGAATTAAAGGAAGATAACCATCAACACTGACTAAAAATGCTATTGATTAAAAATGACTAAAAATGCTATTTTGACCTCCCACAATGAATTCTTGCCAGCCATGGTTGAGTAGTTAAAATATATGAGGAAATATATAATTATATGAGGGATATATATATATTTTTATAATTTTTTTTTAAGTACCTACAATTCATTTGCTGCCCCTTGGATATCTGCCGCTGTCCCGGTGGCCTCCCTTCCCTTTTGGCGACTCTGCTTATAATATATTGGAGAATAAATAAAATTTATCGTTGTTAAAACTTTTATCTAATAATTATTGCAAATTAATAGAAACCAGTAATTTTTCTGCTTTAACAACCCTAAATTCATTATTTCTCTTTGTGTATGCATGCATTTTTGTGAATGTATTGCTCAAGACTTATGTAACGTATACGTAACGACATGCACTATAATCATTATAAGTTTTTTTGTTCTTTTTATATTACTATTTTAATATAAAAAATTTATGTTTTATTCTGTTAATAATATAATAATATAAAATAAATTGTTTTAAACTATGTACAGTTTTTCTTTCATCTTAACTTAATTTGTTTTATTTTTATCAAAGTCTTAATACTTATTTTCTCTTAAGTTTTGCAGCAAATTGCAAATAAATGAATGAATGGTTTAAAGATAAATTAAAAATTACTAATTGAGCACTTGTGCCTTTTTTTTTTTTTTTTTTTGTAACAGGATTATATATATATATATATATATATATATATATATATATATATATATATATATATATATATATATATATATATATATATATATATATATATATATATATATATATATATATATATATATATATATATATATATATATATATATATATATATATATATATATATATATATAATTTAAATATTGTTTTATGTAAATTTAATAATTTTTATAGTGTTTTATTAAACAAATTGTTTATTATTTTAAAATTTGTTTCATTAAACAAATCGTTTAATATAAAGAAGATGAATGTTTAAAAATATTTAAAGTATTAAACATTCAGTTTAAACAGTTTAACCTTTAAGTTGCAAACTTTAATTCAGTTCAAACAGTTTAAACTTTAAGTTGCAAACAAGAGTTAGTAACATTATCATTACCAAGATATAAAATGTGCGAAAGTATTTCTTCTTCAACTTCAGAGATTAATTTCATTATTATTCAAAACTAGTATATGTAATTGAGAGCATAATCTCAACTGTACTTTTTTTTTCATTTTATTATTTTTCGTGCAATTTTTCCCGCCATTTTCAAAGTCATTGCAATGAAATATATATATATATATATATATATATATATATATATATATATATATATATATATCGATATATATATACCAATTTTTAAATTAAATTAAAATGACGTACTTTAAAATACGCAACTGTGTAAATAAACTTTTAAATATGTAAATATGTATATTGAGTACAGTTACATTTACTTTCATTACACTTTTCCATTATTCAACAAAATCTCATAAGGCCTGTTTATATATGTGTATATATACATATATATATAAATATATATATATATATGTGTGTATGTGTATATATATGTATATATATGTGTATTTATAGATGAATATATATATGATATATATATGTGTGTGTGTATATATATGTACATATATATGTGTATATATATATATGTATATATATGTATATATATATATATACATATATATATATATATATATATATATATATATATATATATATATATATATATATATATATATATATATATATATATATATATATATGTATATGTGTGTGTGTGTATATATATATGTATATATATGATATATATATGTATATATATGATATATATATGTATATATATGACATATATATGTATATATATGATATATATACGTGTATATATATATATATACATATTTATATATATATATGTGTGTGTATAAGTTATACTGCTGGTTTAGGTGAGCAGTGTGAGGTCATACTGAAATAGTCTGCTGCCTGGGACTTCAGTATATACATTGACAGACAAATAGCCAGACTTGCAGTGGAGTGCTGCTACATAGGCTGAGGGTTTTAAGATAGCGCAGCAATCTTTTCATTTATTATTCTTTGTTTTCTTTTTTTTCTAAAAAAGGGTTGCACACTTAAAAAAAAATCATAATTTAAAAGATTGCATCAAAAAAATTAGTTATACGTTAAAATATTTGAGTTTTTTTATAGATATCACATATTGTTTTAAGAATTTATTTGTGTATTGGTTTATTGAATTAATTGCTTTCCATACCTATTGAATTTTACACAATTGATCTAATGATGCATATAATTGACTGCAAAAAAAATAATTGTACACTGACAAAATAGGTCTTTATTTTAGCATAAATTGAGGGAATTGAACGATTAAACTAGTTAGTAAAATTAAAAATAGTAATTTTTTAAATAACCTATGTTCTGAAAATAAAATATAGCGTTTCAGCAAAATGGCATCAAGAAAACAACAGTTGTCTTTCCATCAATGAAGCCTTGTAGTTGATTTAAAAAATCAAGGAAAATCCTACTGTCAGATCCAAAAAGAAACAAAAAATCCTTTTACAAAAGTGTCCTCAATTGTTAAGAAGTATAATCTGATTGGAACAGTTGCTAGTGTTCCACTAAGAAAACAAAGGTATACTTTGACACAAATAACATCAATGTTTTGGAATGGCCATCTCAAAGTCCGGACTTAAATCCTATATTTGTGGTATATTTTAGATAATATAACAACAGACGAGACTCAAAATTTGGTCAACTCAATGCTAAATCGTCTAGCTGAGACTATCAAGGCCAAAGGAGGCCCCACTCAATACTAATTTCCATGAAGTTTGATCAATTTGAGCTTACTTTTGAACTGCACAATTATTTTTTTTTGCAGTCAATTTTATGCATTATTAGTTTATATGCAATTAATTCATCATACACAAATAAATTCTTAAAACAATAATTGATATATCTAAAAAAAAATTTCAAATATTTTAATGGATAACTAATTTTTTTGATGCAATCTTTAAAGTTATGATTTTTTTTTTTAATGGAGGATTATTTTTTTGCATACTGTATATATATATATATATATATATATATATATATATATATATATATATATATATATATATATATATATATATATATATATATACATATATTACATATATATAGTATATAATTTAAATAGAGATACACAAACACTTGAAGTAATTACAATCCACAAAAACTTACTTAATCTTGGGATCAGGCAAATACTTTTTGAAAAGTGAAATTTGATCATGAGTCTAAAATCAAAATATCTATAAAATTAAAAACATTTCTATCCTATATTTTACAACAACAAAAATACCATCAAATCAAAAATTCATAAAACCATAATAATTTTAAAATCAAAACATTCTGGTTACCAATATTCATTTGCTTTAAATTTCACTACCATTAAAATTTTGCATTACAACAGTGCTTTAAAAAACTTATAAAAAACTACAGCAGTTTTATTTATTGAATCAGTTTTCAACTTTCTAATTTCTATGTAATAATCAATCTACTCTTTATGTTTTACCTAAAACAATTAAAACAGAATTCTGAATTGTATCCAAATATATTTACAACAAAAATGACTAATAAAAATAGTTAAAGCATTTTTCTATTAAATAAAAGTCTTTCTTTGTCATAAATTATGCAGGCATTGTGCGGTGAAACACTAAAAAAATCAAATTATAAATATCAGGATCACAAATGGCAAAATTTTGTAAACTGTTTATAAAATTCAAAACAATTTTCAATATCAATATCAATATCAATATATTTCTGAAATATTTGGTCTTACATTTCAAGGTTGTTTACAAATAGTAACTACTAACTTCACGTAAACACCTAATGATAATGATTAAAGTAGTAATAATAATAAAGATAATATTTATAATAATAATAAATAATAATAATAATAACATTTTATTTTAACAATAGTAATAATAATATACTAATTAAAATAATTTAAATAAATCAGTAAAATTTTTCATACAACAATCGTTATTACATACAAAGTTACAGTTACAAACAGTAATTAACTAACAAAACGTAACAACTAACAATGACATAAAAACAACCACTGCTAAAAAAAATTATATAGATTTAGTAAATATATTTTTCTTATAATATAATAACCGAAATATATTGTAAATAATATGACAAAGCAAATAAATGCAAAAAAGAAAAATACTAGGAAAATAAAAGCAAAACAAAAGTTACAAGCATTACAAGCAAAACATTACAAGCAAAACATTACAACAAACATTACAAGCAAAACAAAAATTTACGTTAAGTACATTTGGCAATAAAAACAAAAAACAACATCAACAACTACAAGAAAAGAACAACATAAATTAGAAATAATAAAGAAAGAAAGGGAAAAAAAAAAAAAGTAATAATAATACACGGTAGAATAAAACATTTATAACAAATGCTCAAAACGAAAATAAAAACAAAAAATATATAACACTATAAAAAATTAGATATCACTATTTAAAAATAATTAAATAACTAAAAAATAAAACAATAAATGACTAATAAAAAATAATAAGTAAATTTCTACAGAAATGAACAGTTTTTAGAAAAACTAAGTTTTGAACAGTATTATTATCTAATATTATATATATATATATATATATATATATATATATATATATATATATATATATATATATATATATAATATATATATATATATATATATATATATATATATATATATATCCTCACCATGACCCTGGTATTACAAAACAGAATGCTTAATGTTCTTAAAAGAACAGAGCAACTGCTACTGTAATATTTGTTGTATAGTGTACTAGAAGTAGTAACCATTTTGAATTTACCTACAAAGAAGCTGAAAAGATTTCATTAAAAAAAAAAAAACAATTAATTTTGCTCATAGCGCTGTTCAATATTTGGTCCTGGTATTCATCAGCCTTACAACAACTTCTCTTTTTGCAAGGGTGATGAATACTAGGACTATATATGTTGCAAGGCAATGACATATTTTTGACAAAATCTTTCAGGTAATAATGATTTTGAAATGAGATTTTGAAAACTTTTAAAAGTCTTGATGCCTTAATTACTTCTGTAATTCCAAATATTGCTAATAGAGTAGGGCTCTTTTTTGTGTGCCAAAAGAAAAATCTGTTGTTTATCACAGAAGAAATCTAAAACTTGCAGCAGGAGAAAATCTTTTAAAGATCAATTATCTGTAAAGCAAATAAGAAGTTTTGAACCATAATGAACTTGAAAATAAATTATGACCTTCTAAAATGTGCGTTGTTAGGTGTAATGAACAAAAAAAAAAAAAAAAAAAAAAAAAAATGTAGGAAGACCCTGAAGGTACTACTAGAAGTAGTAAAGCTTTTCTCAACTGATAGAAGTTACCTTCCAGTAGAACACTTGAAACTGACTTACATTAAATAACTTACATGGAATGGGAAGAGTTCATGAACATATCAACAATATTGTAAAATTAGTAGCAGTAAAAAACTGAGTTGTGTTTGGGTCACAAAATACTGCAACATTCAAGATCAGCTGTTAGTTCAATGTTATCAAAAACCTTTTGTCTAAAAATTGACACTTATTGTCAGAGTAAGCAAAAATCATCAGCAAATATATGAGCTAAATCAGCAAGTAAAGTAATTTTAGAGATAAGATAATCATAAAGATTATTATAAGGAATAGCATAGGACTAATAATGGAACCTTGTGATTCTATACTTGACTCAGTGGTTGGATTCCATCCATCTCTAGATTTTTAAGACTAATATAAAAAGCTAATATAAAAAGATTGGGGAAATTTTTATTTATTTATTTAAAGATCAGAGTTATGAGAAGATCAGAATTCACTAAAAATTAAAGCCAATTAAAATTATGTCATTTAACAGCAAAAAAACTAAAATAAAGTTAAGCAATTTTAAACTTTTAGAAAAATTTTTAGAAATTAATTTTTAGAAAGTAATGAGTTGTTAAATTACAACTTTTGTAGAGGCCATTATTGGAGATAAAATTTAATAATGAAAACTGTGTAGACCTTTATCTCTGTAACAGAAAAAAAACTGGATTTTTTTTTTTATTGCACATTCAACTGCAAAAAGTATTTGTATTATTTACAAATTTATATTATGTTTTGACTGTTACGGTCAAGTCCATTAATTCCCCAACATGCTAACTTGAGATAAATAGTTCATTTTCCTTTTTGCCAACTGAATTTAAAAAAAAGTTTGGATTTGCTGACTAATAATACATAAAGGATTCCAATTTGCCAAATGGTGTTATAAAAGATATGGAGGCCCCACACCCCACACAACCTCATACTATGTGCCGGACTTACCTACTGGCCTAGCATGTCTGCTAGATGTGCGCAATTCTTAGTTTCTCAATTTTTTTTTGGTAGATGTTGTTTTTAATAATAAGAATTAGTTTTTGGTTATTATTAAAGACTTTTGTAGACTGAAACAGTGCACAATATTTGATGACATAATCATATTATACAGGTGTTATCGCATTTTAGAGTATAAATAGTAAAACAATACATCAACTAAAGGCCTAATAGTATATATTATTGAGTTAGACTTTTAAGAATGTAAATTTTGTTCTTTGTCTTGTGAAAACTTTTAAAGATAATCTTGGTTGACTTTTTGATGTCTTGGTTTTGGTCTTAAAATCTTAAATCTTGCTCTTGATCTCAAGACCAAATGTCTTGGTCTTACTGTTTGAAATGTATACAACTATAGAAGCCACTGAAACAACTGATAAATATGTCTAGGTAAATATAATCACACATAAGTTAGATTTTCATTTGTGTTAATTTTTGTATAAGTTGAGAACAGTATACTATGCTTGGAAAACACCTGAATTGTGTTTTAATGTTTGCAAACCACCTGAACTGTTTGGTCGCCATCTATTAATTAAGAGCACCTTGTATTTTTAGATCAATGCTACTTTAGATTCTGCAGTATGGCTAACAATTTGTTGTGGTTATTATTTTCACACCAGGCCTTTGAATCATCATTTTGGATCATTTATTAAGAAATGCATAAAACAATTTTTAAATTTTCATCAGATGAGATCTGTCTTTCAAAATCTTTTAAAACTGATCTAAAAATTTCACCTTCTTTAGACACAACTTTTTTACCAATTTTTAAACACTTTTCCTTTTGACATTAACTTTTTCATGTTTTTACAAATACTTCACTTTTTGAGCAGTGATTAATAAACCAGTGAAAAAAGCTCTTTGCTGTAGTTCCATAACTGACCATAGAGCTACTTTAGTACTGTAGTTCCATAACTGACCATACTTTAGATTTCATAGAGCTACTTTAGATTTCTACAGCAAAAACAAAATATACCTTATTGAATCCAATTATTAATTTTCAAAATAAAAATTCTCAAGTGGAGCTGTAATAGACAAAAACTTCTTGCAAAAACACACACCACCTAAAAATGGTTTAGCACCTCCCACCACCCAAAAATATGAAAGTACAGATATTCAAGAGCAAATCAATCATCATAAGAAACAAATTTATCCAAAAAAAATATTGTCATCTTTGCCATTAATAAATACGTGAAAGACGACTTTATCGTCAATTCCGAACTTGTAATTGGTCTCGGCAAATTTTAACCAGTATTTAAAAAAAAAAAAAACATTAATTGGAACTACAATTGTAAGGCCTCATTGTTGTAAAAAAAGCAGAAACTCAACTTAAACTCCCAACACATGTTGTGTTCATATTAAAGATAATGTTAAAAAAAAAGGTTTGAACCAAGTTTTTTTGATTAAAAATAAATAATGAATGTATACTGAGAAAAACTAATGTTGTTGTTTTAGCCGAAGCTTGCCTTCTCCATTTTTTTCAATAACTCAGAGTCTTTAAATTATACGTCGCAATCTACAGACTTTGACGATTTCTTTGAAGCGCGTTTAATTCATAAAAGTTTTAGTATTTGACGTCATGGTAGATTTTTAACAAAATAAAAGTGTAATTAAACAAAGCTGCGTTTTTCTACTTTAATTCAAAAAGTACGATGCAGTTATTTTTTAACATACAGCAAAACAACTTTTACAATTATAACAAAAGGTTTTTATTTCATAGGAGGAACTTTTTTTTTTACCAATATCTTAGTAATTTTTAGATTTATATATCTTATAATTCTTTTGCTTTTAAATTAAAACAAATATTAAAGCTTCACTTATGAATCTTTTGATTTTCATACGAGTGTTTTACATTACATAGAACGTTATGTAT